GCACCTGAGTAACTACAGAAACAGTCGGGGGCTGGTGGAGAGTAAAAGAACCAGCTGCGGAACCAACAGGACCGCTATCAACACAGCGTGCACCGAAAACGGTAAGGTACCGCAACTACCATTGTAACCATTTAAATGTCTGCAGTTCCTGGGCAACCAGTCTGACCTATTAAAACGGGCTGGTGGCTAGACACCCAGGTGTCCTTGCTCTTTATCTTCCTCTCGATCCACTGACAGGAAAAGGAAAAAATAAAGAGCTCCCGGTGTCTTGAGTTTGAAGGAGGTGTTTATAATGCATTTTATTTCTTTAGAACCAAAACTGTAAAGTGAGCCAGTGATTAGGAAGTAATTAATCATTTCTTGGAATCTACACTAGGGGAAAAATATGAATACAATAAAAGTTTACAGTTAAATCAAATACAGCGCCTACAGATAAAGAAATGTTATGCAGTCATTAAAATACTGCTTAAAAATACTTGCAAAGCCCTGGGAGAAATGCTTGTAACATTGAGTGGGAAGAACTGAGTACAAAATTATGTGCACAGTAAGATAAGAACTATGAAAAGAAAGAATCATTAATCTCACCACCCAGAGATAATCCCCATCAAAGCCTTGCTGTGTGCTGCTCAGACATGTGTTTACACATAAGCACATACGTGTGTGTGTGCACACACAAACATAAATATGTATGTGTACAAGAACAAGCACGAGTGTGTGATTACACCTACTCATACACATTAATATAGTACTTGTCAATAGAAAAATAAACAAGCTTTTTGGGATACAATCTACTCATAAGTAGGTCAACTCGTTAAGTGTACAGCCTTATTCAGCCTCCCATGGAAGCAGTGTGGATAGGGGCCTCATGTCTCTCTACTTACTAAGTGGTGGTGTTCTGGAACATTGCAATGCAGCACACCCATAGGGATGAGGGGGATGGAGAAGTTGGGGGGTGGAGGACCATATACGATGGGGGCCCCAGCAGGAGGCGGGCCATAAACGACAGTGCCAGGGGTGAGAGGTCGGCTATTGTTGGGCAGAGGAGGAGGTGGCGCATACAGGGCCATGCCCTGGGGAACAGGAGAGCCGTCGGGGAACACGGTGTACATCATGTATCCAGGAGGAGGCACAAATGGGCGGTCCTCTTGGTCATCCAGCTCGCTCTCTTCCTGGCTGTCTCCTCCACTGTCTGCATCTTGAAAGAAACAGAAGAGCGTTTCAGCCCCATTGCTTACTAGGCAAACAAGTTTAGCAGAGAACAGCAGCATTCAGGACAGGATACCAGAGATGTGAAAATAAAATTCTGTAAATGAGGTCAAAAGCAGTTTGAAAGGGAGATCAAAACAGGGATTCAAATTACTTTCATTAGCTGAACTTGAGTTTTCTCTTGTGCCTATCTGTTGGTTTGGTTTTTTCTATCTTCATTCATTCATTCATTCAGCAAGCCTTTGGGTGCCTGCTTCAGGCTATATAAAGGACCAGCAAAGAAGTGCTGTGAGATCCCACAGCCCCAGCAGTTACCACTATCCTGACACACAGCCTCTCTGGTGTTGGCTCACTGACCTGTTATCACTGACGGCAGAGATCCTAGCACACAGCAGGCACTCAATAGCTCCTGAATGAACAAATTCTCAGAAGGCAATATCCCCATTTTACAGACTAACAGTCTCAGAGCAGCTAAATAATTTGCCTAGGATGACACAGCTATGTAGTGAAGGCGCCAGGACTGACTCGCCCCCATGGGGCTCTGGGAGACAGACGTTTAGCACTTCATTTCAGTTGAGCTAATTAATGCCATGATACAAGGATGGAAGCTGCCATGACCCCGGAGCACAGGCGAAGACGCTGCTCAGTCCACCTGGGTAAGGAAGAAGGGAGGGGAGGGGTCCATAAAAGGAGTGCTGTCTGAGGACCTGGGTCTTGTTGAGTAGGAACAGGTTTGGGCAAGAAAGGAAGAAGCAGGACACTCCAAACAGAGGGTTTAAAACATGGAGGTTTGAGAAACATGGCAAGGGTGTGGCTGACAGGTGGGAGAGTGAGGGAGCTGAGACTAAAGGTCACTGGCCAGGACCAGATCACAGAGGGCCTTGCAGAGCAAGCTAAGGAGTGTGGATGGTGTCTTATGCATTTCAGGGAACCAATAAAAAGCTATTAAATAGGTACGAGAAATACAACTTCCTTTATGTGATTGAACTTACCTCTATTTGAAAATGACTTATGTAACCCACTCCTGATGGGAGAATAAACCCAGTATCCCGAAGCAGGTGGGAGTGCGCTGCCTTCCTTCCCATCCTGCCGTGGTTTTCTAATGGGAGTTGAGGCTGTGCGTTTTAGGCTGACACCAGAGTCCTTGGTGGCCTGGGAACTGTGGCTGGAGACCTAAAATAAATAACAGCAGAGCACACTCTCTCTTGCAAATAAAAAGGCCAATATGGAGAAATGTCAAAGTCTAGAGCAAAGTTGAAAAAGACTGGTTTCTTTTCACACATCATAATTCTCACTGTTCACAGAGTGGGACATGATCACATGGTCATGTAAACTGCACAGGTGCCAGCCTGCCTTCTCCCGTACTCATCTTCCCTTATGGTTTCTCTTCTTCTGCCTTCTCCTTGATGGCCCAGCAACCAAGACCAAGGAAATTAGAAGTCTTCGAGGCAATCTGGGGATATTAGTCTCCTGCTGTCCTGGGAGCCTGGCATGGCTTTAGAGCTCTACTCTGTCAGCCTCCCCCCTCCTTCCCAGTCGTAGGTCTATCCTCCAAACCTTGTCCAGCTCAGGCTTACAATGTTTTGCTCTAGCCTACATGGCTTCCACCTGCAGCCTGGGTTGTGCCAAGGACGTCTGGTTTCCTTTAGATTTCTGGGAGGAGGATCTCAGAGTGTGCTCTTGGGGGCTGTGATTAAGTCTACACGGCCCTGGGATCCTAGCATGTCAGGGCTGCTTCTCCTGACTGCTGCTGTCAGCTGATTCTAACAGGATGTCACCTAGCCGCCGTCCCCCAGCCCCCGCTTTGAATGAGAACCACTTACTCTCCTTCCTTCCCACATTCAGGCTGCAAGCCCCGATCATTTTGCTCCCTGAATATCCCTCAGTCTCATCTCTTCTCCAACTCCACTGCTCCAGCTCCGGCTTCTTCTAACCTTCATCTGAATGAGCTCAAACAACCCACACAGAGTTCACCCACTGCAAGTCTAGCCTTCTCACTCTGCCTGATTATTCTTCCTCAATACAGCTCTGATCATAGTACGTGCAACCACAGTTTCCCAAGACCTGCATAATTAAATGCAAGGGTTTTGGGACCCCTTTTTTAAAAAAAAAAGCACGACCCCAATCTATGTTTCCAGCTTCACCTGTCATTGTTCCCCTCCAACCCTCCAGCCCCGTAAGGCTACCTGCCATGGGTAAGCCACCTCTCCTCTTCCCTGCAGGCTGCTCCTCCCTCCTGAAAGCCCATCCCTCGAGGCTTGCTAAGTACTGACTTCACGCCCCTGCTTGTGAAAACTTCTTTCCTAAACATCCCCATGAGATGAATCCATAGCACCTCTCTGCGACTAGAGCACACAGGTCTAGTCTGTTGTCACATGCCTGTCACTGTTTTGGGATTACACTGGTGTGCCTGTCTTCCTCACCAGCCCACGAGCTCTCTGAGGTATCATGGTACCCCACCAAAGCCTAGCACTTGACTTAGACCTCAGTAAGCACTGAATGAATGTTTGTTAAGATGAAATAAAATCCAGGTACCTATTTTTCTGTCTGAGCCTCTGTATAATTCAACAGCCATTTTCAACACTCTCTGGGCTCAAATTACTTTATCCTCTTACGGGATCCTCATTCAAGGACCCCACAACATACCACTTGAGCATGAACAAGCAATTGCCACATTTCTTGGGAATGTCCTATTTACATCTCACATAGTACAAATACCTATGAACCTTGACGCATGGCTTAGCCTAGCTATGTGGTTCTTGACACCTGATCACAGATTTGGGGAAGGGAACATTCTCTTCAAGAAAATTCAGTACACATTCCCAGCACTACAGACTTCCTACTTTTGATGATGATGGTGGCGGCATAAAGTACCAATAGCCTCGTCTTCTGAAAGGATCTGCCATGCTGCTGATGTAATCGTTCTGATAAGAAACTTCTCTCCGGAGCTCAGCAATTTCTTCCAAAACATTTTCAAAGCCTCCTTTGTTATCTGTAAAGGAAAGCCATTCTCTGAAGCTGGTATGAAATCATCTCCTTCCTTTCTCTCTCAAAATACAAAAGTAATTCTATGAGAGCCAGTGATTTTTATCAGTTCCTCAAAATTGCCTTTTAGCCTGTTCTTTGGTAAAAAGTTTCATTAACACTTTTTTTTTTAATTGAAGTATAGTCAGTTTACAATGTTGTGTTAATTTCTGGTATATAGCATAGTGATTCATATATATATATATATGTAGGACCTTGTTTATTTTTGCTAACACTTTCTATAAAGAAGACAGACATATCCTATTGCTGTTCATTTACAAAGTGGGCCAGAGAAATAGATTTGTAAACATTATTTTTTTTTGAAAATACAAAAATAAATCTCTTCTCTCTTTAAAATCAAGTCCCTTAATACTGCACTTAGATAAAATGTTTTTTAAATTCTTTGCTTTTACTTATTAAGCTAATTATTATGGCTCTGTAAATCAAGCATGGACTTGCTCTGTTAACAGTTAAATAAGTTTGCTAAAAGTAAAAAACAAACAAGATGATTTGATTTTAGAACAACTACAAAATACCACTACCAAAATCAAAGCGCAATACTTTACCAGCCCCAGTGAGGTCTAGTAAATTCCGCAGTCTTCCGATCTCTGTCCTTTGCCTCTCCATCGTCTCATTCAGTTTCTCAATTTCTAGCACCTGTGAGCTTGCTCCTCTGGTACTTACATCTACTTTCTCCATCTCAATTCGAAACTATTGAAAAATCACATATACAAAGTTGCCACTGAATATTCTTTCCCAGATGCACTTATCCTTGCAACTCGATTGCAGTTCTATGATTTTTACTTTACTAATGAGGAACTGCATTACTCCTTAAATTTAAATCGTACTATGTCTGACACACAGTAGAGGATCAAGTACTGACTACTGATTGCACCTCAAAATTCTTTGAGATGTCACCTAACAGTAATTCAGTCTTTCAGCAACTTACAAGGAGGAGGTCTCAGGGTACCAGAACTGACCTGCTCCTCTTTATCCCTGAGAAGATTCTGCAGGAGTTCAATTTCTGCTTCTGCTCGGGTCAGATCCCTGGCCGCTTGCGCTGCCTTTCTGCTGAACCTCTCCGTTTCCTGCAGCTCCTAGAAGTGACAGAAAGGCATCACTGCATTCGCAGGCCATTCTCTTCATTTCTTTCTTCTTCTCAGACTGATTCCTGTTTTCGTCAGGTCACCTGCCTGGCTATCCCATGCACGTGTGGTGCCAAGTCCCACCTCACCTGTGCTGTTCCCATCACTTGGCAGCCCACTCCGCCCCTCTGTGGGGGCCAGGTGGCAGGGTGCTGCATCAGAAAGAGCAAGGGATAATTTCTTCCTCCCTGTTTTACAGTGTTCCACGGCTGGTGTCTCTCTGGACTCCCATGATTAGATTTTCCCTCCTGTGATCTACTATCTTAATCTCATTAGCACTTGCATCCTATAGACTGTAACTGACTTACCTCAGTCAGGAGTCATAACAACCCTGTGAAGTAACATATTATCACCTGACTGCACAAGATGAAAAGGTTGAGATCTAGAAGGATTATACAGCAAGACCTGAAGTCAGGTGTGTATTGATAGCTACCTCCCTAAGC